GAAGAAAGACCTCTGGCCGTAACAGTTTTTAAAAGTTGGTAATATCAGTTGTCCTTTTGTAACAGATCTAGTTGAATGACCACTTCCAGAATTTGATTGTTACCACTTCCAGAAATTGATGGTTACAATGAAATAAAAATAAAATGACCACACCGTGTGTTTGTAAATACCTGCTGATACGAGGTGGTGTCAGCTGTATGCACCTGTTCTTGATTTCTCAGGACTTTTTGAGTGTCTAGGTTGAGTCCCTCCAGCTGTTTGATCAGGTGGCTCTGTTCTGCTGCATGTTCTGTGCTCTGTCTGTACAGAGTCTGAACTTCTGCAAAATCACGACTACAAACAAACCGTAGTATGAAGTCAGACAGACTGCACATAACATAGCATTTTACACATTAAAAAGTAATTTATGTGAAAGAATAAAATTTTCCACTCAAACCAACTTTTCCTTCAAAATGCAGGATCAAGTTGTTTTCTTTTAAATTCAGAAATAAAAACAGTTTTCTGTTGTATACACTGGTCGCTGCTTTGCTTTTTATTATTTGAAAACAATATTTGAATACTAAAACATATTCACATAAAACATGTATGTATAATATTTGTTTAAACTAAATTTTATATTTACTATAATAATATTTATCATCCAGAAACCTTTCCTTAAGGAGTTACCAAAATTTTCCAATATTAACTAAAATAAAAAATAAAATAAATCCTATGAAAAGAAAATGACACTACTACATTGCAATCAAGTTGGTGATACCCGAGTGATTTTTCTCCATAAAACATTCATCAACAACAAATATTCTCTTGCATTTTGTGTGTCCTCGCTTAAAATTCCCATAAAGTACCTCTGCTATTTATGACTATATTAATTAGCAAGCTAATGATGTAAAAACAGTGTGCAGATGTGGTGTGACTGACATGTCAGAGTGCCTTTGGCATTAAAACAGAAAAGTAGTTAAAAAGAAAAGGTTGAGATTACTATTAAGGCTCCTACAGTTCCTGCAGTTTTTATCATATCGACTAAAGCTTAGTGAAAGCCTGCCCTGTTTCCCTTCTTCCCTCCTTTAAAGCACATCCACTATGCCGGGATTATCAAATGGCTTTAGGTGAGCCAGTACGAAAGAACTGTGTGTCACCCCCAAGACTCACAGCGATGGGAGGAATATACTCATACCTAATGCAGAAATCTATATGTTCACATACAGTATATGCAGCACAAATATACACTTCCTTTAACTGCTGAAATTACCCATAAAAAGCATTTACAGGAGGGTTGTTATTTACAGAAACATGGACAGTTTTTTTTTAGTTGACTGGACTTACCAAAGCCCATCAAGTTGTTGCTCTTTTGTTGCTACCTCCTTCTCTTTAGTGGAAAGTTGTGCAGCTAGACTGCCACTGCGTTCCTGAAATTTGGACAGCTCCTGCCAAGCACTGTGCAGTTTCTCTTCAAGATCCTGGTGTAAAAGGGAAACAGTTTTTGAGGAACCTTAAAAGCCGAGCAATTTTTGATGTACCAAGTAAAATTGCATGAGGGGTATTTCTGTGCTTAAGTGGGATATAAGCTGTAGAGCTACAGTGGGGAAAATAAGTATTTAGTCAGTCACCAATTGTGCAAGTTCTCCCACTTAAAAAGATGAGAGAGGCCTGTAATTGACATCATAGGTACAGTGGGGAAAATAAGTATTTAGTCAGTCACCAATTGTGCAAGTTCTCCCACTTAAAAAGATGAGAGAGGCCTGTAATTGACATCATAGGTAGATCTCAACTATGAGAGACAAAATATGAAAAAAAAAATTGAGAAAATCATTTTGTCTGACTTTTAAAGAATTTTTTTGCAAATAATGG